GGCAATTTGACGTGTGCTCGTAGAAACAGGTATATAAAAAAACGCCCGTAAACCTAGTGTTAATTGCATGGAAGTTACTTCCTTTTTTATATCTCAAAGTCGATTTAAAGGGCGTACAATTAGGGGTTCCAGGGACGTTGTGGGTTTTCCGGCCGTTCCGTCATTTTGCGAACATCCGAGGGTACTACGGAGAATATTCCGTGACATTTTTTGAAATATGGAACACGGAGCGAAAGGTCGCGCACTTCCTGCTTACGTCGGTACCCTCCCTATTCAATCCTTGGTAGACAAGGGAAGGTGTAAGATAACCCGGTCACTTCGGCGCATGCGAGGGATTTATTTTGAATCCGATTCTTGAAAAAGAAACGCTACTGTATTCCACTCAGTTTTAGAGTGGCCATACAGTAGGTATGCATAAACCAACACCCCTCCCGCTCGGGGCTGACGGAAGGCACGTCCGCGAAATGCCGGTACGCTTACCTACGTGAATTCCAAACGGAAGCAAAATGCGGAACCTGCGCACCCGCGGAATTTTTCAGAATATCCCGGAAGATCCTGCGGAAGCTCCCGCCCCGTGTCCCTGGATCTCCCGGATTTCTCGGGGAGGGAATCTATGAAATTGGGATTCGCCGGAAGAAGCGAGACGCCCTTAAGAGGGTCCGAGGGGTCCTTAATTTCCAATTTTTGCAATTTACCGGAGACGATATCCGGTATTAACGTTTCATATCAGCTCGTCATCCCTTCTTTACCGACATTAAAATTATATTAAGTCAGAAGGGCTAACCGTTGAGGATTTTCGAAGACAACTCGCTAATGATCCGTCGTTGACCCGCGGCTGCCCTCTCGTCCGATGCTATATACTTTACCCGAGTAAGGGTCAAGTACATAGCAACAGGACAGGGCGATGCATGTACGTGCATAATCAAGGGCATTGACCCCCGTGCCGCTCCAGTGAAACATTTTCCGCAAACCAAACGGTAATATCGCATCTAACCCCTGGATAACGCGTCACGAGGGTGCCGAGGGTGAACGAGTGTCTTTAATGAACACCACCGGATGCCTTGTTACGAAAACTATCCTAACCCCTCCCATTTAGTTAACGTAAATATTAACATTTTTCTAGCCCTTTAAAGACGGCAGATAAAAGACGCCTTTAAATTTAATCACTAAAAGGTAAGATACAAGTACGAAGCGTAATAAAAAATTTCAAACGGGTACAAATCGCGCCTAGGTCGAGATAAACTCTTCGAGAGTGTAAAACCGTCGAGCCAGAGTTTCCTAGACCAAAGTTCAGAAATCTTTTAATCGTCACAGATATTGCCTCTGCCCGACGACCAAAAGCACCACCCGCGACGATTAGATAATTAATCGTTTTCGAATCAGTCCCCATATAGACCCGTCAAGATCCACGGAAGATTTACCGAACCGCCCCCGGGGTGTTGCTCTAAACCCACCTCGGTTTAGGGTAAGTAGCCCATAACGTCACGGTTACTCGGCAGTGTTGATTTTCGGACATGGATTCGCCCATGAACCGCGCCCATATCTCATCCCCGTCCGCCATCGTAAACCACTCCCCGGCGCCGTACACGTAGCCCCATAACGATGCATTAAAAACGCTCAGAGTTTGAAAATAATTCGCTCATGACCCGCGCATGATCCATCTCGTGCCCATGGGCTCCGTCGTACGTACAAGGTCCGATCGCAATGCACGAGGCCCAAGGCGGAACGACACAGGCTCACCAGAGACCATATACCGAGAGACCGTATCCAACCTTCGGCCGAGTAACTCGAACGAATGCGCTTGTCCCGCGCCACGGGTGACACTCTATAAAGACGTTTCACCCCGTGCTCCCAGTTCCCTTGTAGCGCCCGATGGCTCCCCCTCGGAAATATATATCGCGAACAATTCGCGTCGCGGGTCTCTTGCTCGGCACTGAGACTCGAGTGCGCCGACGAGGCGAAAAACGCGGCGGAACCCCCGGATCGAAATACGCTCCTCGGTGTACCTATACGCAAGCCCCAAGGTGATACGAAAGGGTCATTCCATGCATCTAAAATACTAGAAAATATTTATAAAACCATTCGCCAAATTGGGTGCACCGGAACGTGATCACGGAGGTCCTAAGAAAAACCTTGGCCATAAAATTTCATAAAAAAAAAAAATTAAAAAAATTACGTTCTTGGTCCTAGTCTAAAATACTAGAAGATATTTCTAAAACTATTCTCCAAATTGGGTGCACCGGAACGTGATCACGGAGGTCCTAAGGAAGAACGTGGTCATAAAATTTCATAAAAAAATATAAAAATAAAAAAAAAATTATGTTCTTGGTCCTAGTCTGAGAGAAATAAAAAAAGTATTGTGTCAAATATGAAATTTCATAAGCACCGCGTTCTTTCCTAGAACCTCCGGAATCACTTGCTGAAGCTTCCAACGATTCGGTGAATCTAGTCTTGAGAAAAGTTTAATAAATACTTGTTATATACACCTACGGAATGATCGTTTCGTGTTATCTTAAGGGTGCCCCTTGACGTGGCGGCCCGATGACGCTGCCCCCGCGCGGCGAGCAATGGGAATTACCGCGCGCCGATTTCCCAGATACCACCTTGCTCGCGATCGCTCCGTCTCTCTCGCGCCTCCGAGGTCGGGCATCGGAGGGTCTCTCTCGCTCCCGCCTGGAGAGGCTCCGAAAAATTGCGGCCAAGGCAGGGGGGGGGGGGGGGGAAGAGGGCCAGAGAGGAGGTTTAGGGACGAGAGCTCGGCTATGCGGTTGCTACACTTGCCGCTCTCCGGCTCGCGTGACGTGAACTCCACTTTCTATTGCGGTATTCTAGCCGTCCTTATGCCGGATGATCGTGCCGGAGCAGAGAAGTTAAATGCCGAGGTGGCAGCGAGATGGAGAGAGAGAGAGAGAGAGAGAGGGGGGAGGCACCAAGAGTTAAATAATCTCGCCAAGTTGGCGAGCGTTCCGCGCGTCTTTTCAGCCCGGACGCCTTTCCTTCCCCGAAGAGATTAATGTGTCGCAAAGCCGGGAGCCGGACTGGTCCACGTCGTCCCTCGGTGGGGTGTAATCTCGGTTTGATGAAGCTCCGGGAGAGCGCTCGAATGGAAAAGGGAAAGGAACCAAATCCATCGGAGGATAATTTGCGTTAGGAAGCTTTCAGGAAGGAATATCCGAGGGGCCCTCGCCGTCGCGTTTGGAATCCAGGACATCCCGAATGGCGAGCGATTGGGCCTAAAGGAGGTTGAATAAATACGCGGCATCCCGGCGGAAACCCTAGGATACCGTCACGGAATGTAAAACCCCTGGGATTAAATTTTTTTTTTTCAAATAAATGTCTATATGTACCGTGAGTTTTGACCTCTCGTCGACCGAGGCGTCATCGCCAGGCGACAAACCGCGGCATCCCGCAGGCGGAGGATTCCCCTCTAGGTAATCCTCGAGGAGGAAAGAGAGAAATTCGAGAAGTATTCCCCGTAGGTATTATATACCCGCGAGGGAAGGCCGGCTCTCGAGGCCAATTACCGCGAGCTTTTCACTCGAGGCATCACGGGGCGATCGCGCGCAAAAAAAGCCCGATCACGATTCGGCGGATTATCGACGCCGAGATCGGTGTAATACCGGAGATCATAACTCAGGAGCCTGGGATGTCAATTAGCCTTTGGCCGGGTCTACACACCGAGGACGGCGGATTCTACTCCCGGTAAGTAGTGGCGCGCACAGCGCCCCCTCGGTCCTCTTCGAGTCGCTCGTCCGTCTCGCTCGGTCTCTCTCGGACGCTAGGGGCCGCGCCTCGCGCCCTCTCGCTCGCGCTCCCTCGGCCACCCTATCTCGGGCCGACTCTCTCGCCGCTAACAACCTTTTTCCCTGTGGCCGCTCTCGCATAACCGATCACTTTCTCGATCTCCGCTGGCACACGGCGCGGAGGAACGCGCCGGAGAGACGAATGGACGGGGCCCCGAGTTTTACGAGTTCGCCGGCGAAAATCCCTGCCGAGGAGCGGACGCCGAATATCGGCTAATAGTCTCTCTTCCACTTGGCTAACGACTTCGGGACTACTTTCGCGGTCTTACCCCCGCTGCGGGTAATTTAGAGACCAAACGTTAAATATCACTTTCCGGCATGCTCGGTGATCCCGGAATCGGGGTCCTCGTATAGTATTCCGGTGAATACAATAAATTCTACGCGAATCAGGGCCTAAGATGACTTTGATGCTCTTTTAAGCCGTGTATAATAGTTATTCACGCGTAACCGCCCACCTTCCACGTCGCTATTGACACGCGGCCTAGTGTAGCGTACCCGAGAGACGAATGGACGTCTTTACGAGTTTACCGACCGAAATCCTCCTCGAGAGAGGGACTGAATATTGGCTAATATTTGGCCACGTCGTTCACGACCCCGGGATTAGGCTACTTGTTAGGCTTTTCGTCCCAGCCGTCTCTAAATCACTCGTATTTCTACCTTTGGTACTTCAATTTCAAGTAAATCAATTCCTGGGTTCTCGGTTCCTTTTGCCCCTCCCGTTCTACGAGCTGCGAATGGACTCTCTCGCTTCAAATTTATGTGTACATATGTGCCCATAATTATGAAAGTGGTCTAAGTCATATATTTTTTCTTTCGAAATTACATTGAATTAATTTCGTTTGAAATAATATGGCGTGGAATAACTGATGAACTCATTTTTTTTTTTTTTAATTTTGACTTTGACCACTTTCATAATTATGGGCACATATATATTATGTTACGTTACGTTAAAAACGGTAGGAACTTATTCCTCGATCTAGGAGTACTTTGTCGAGGTCCTGCGTTCCGAACGAATCGGGTGCTCGTCCATGTTTAAACGTTTCGTCAGTAATCGTATTACGTCCTTCCCCTGGATCTATCTCCTAGGTCGTATGTAACTTTCGCGTAATCTCACTTTGCGGGTGGAAGATATAGGCACGACATCCCACAGGATGTCCCGGAAACGGCGGGATCGATCGAAGACATTTGCTAACTCACCGGTCAGATGACTTCCGGTGAACTCGAAGTCGTCGTCCTGATCCCAATGCTTCAGGCTCAAGTTGGAGAGGGACGTGGCGTTGGCAAACTCCAAGTTTGCAAAGTGCCAATCCAGTATTTGGCGGTCCTTCGACGATAGGTACACATCGCTGGAATTGATGAGTACGGATTTAGTCATTGCTGCGATCGCCTTTTCGACATAACGTTTTCACCGTGTAACTGCATTGCTGACGATTAAAGTTCAGAAACACAATCCGTTTGATCGACAACCGGCAGTCATTGAAATCGGAAAATAATTCAAACGCTATTGCTATCAGCAAAGTAGATTTAATTACGATTATTCCTAAATTCGCGTTTTTCCCTAGTGCGCTGTAAGTGACTGTACGATGATGGAAATTGTGCGTATGTGACTAAGAATTAAATTTTTTTCTCATTTTTCATGTGATAAGAAGAGTACATTTTCATACCAGAATACGATGAGACTAAGTTCTTATAGGATGATTGGATGTAGAAGTTTGAAATCTAATCATTTGAAAATAAGAATAGCCTAATGATATACCCGATAACGTTATCACCGGGCGCAAAATTGCATTCAGATCACGGAGCATTTATTACAGCGTATCGTCGGGAGATCGATACCGCTGGCTTATCGTTTGTTTTATCGGGAAGGCTTAACTGTTATCCAATAATTATTTCTTTCGATTATCAAAAACATAAACATGAAGTAATGACGGACAGGGTTGTAAGCACGCAAATAAAACGAACTCACGAAACATTTACGTGGCGTTGAGAAAGAAATTTATTCAGAGTTCACATTCACTTTGATGTACGTCATACACATTTACTATTTACTGAATTGTATTGCCTTTTCTACCTACCTGGATACAAAAAAAAATATATTAAAATGTATTTGTATACATACCTCGGCGGTGAAGCTTCCAGTTCTTGAAGTTTCGCCTCGATCTCCTTCTGTTGTTCGGCGAGTAGATCCCATTCCTGGCAAAAAAAACACCATCCATATTAATTACAAGATTTTACACTGTCGAACTCGTAATTTTGTTAGAGATATTCTCACCTTGCATGCATTATGAAGATCCCGCAATTTAGAACGCAAAACGAATTCTTGCGTGATGTCTCGTGTCTGTCCTTTACTCTCGGACATCTCTTTGTACTGTTTGTTTAACTCAATTAAGCGCTCTTTGATGGCGATCATCTGGAAAATGTTCGCGTCAGTTATTGAACGGTTAGACCGCGAATAATTTCACTCTTTGAAGAACGTAAAGCAAGCACTCGAATATTTACCCTGTGCTGATTTGCGGTGAGCCTCCCTTGGAGAGAAAGAACAGAACGGAGATGTGCAACTTGTCGTTGTTTAACTCCTTGTTCTTGTAATCGAATGACCCATTCTAGTGCTTGTCCCAATGACACGGGCCTCGAATTACCACCTTGGCCGGTTGATCCAGTGATGTAGTTAAAGTCTAACTGGTGCGAAAGATAAGATGTTGCTTCGAGTAATCGATTAAACTCCCTTTCCACCATCTCATCTTTGTCCTTAGGCACCTACGCATTTTTGTAAGAAAATAAACATATAGCAATACAATATTTTCAGGGTGTGCCGACATTAACCTTATGCGATTAACAGCGATTTATTTACCGTTTGACCGTCGCTCTCGTACAAAGGGCATTTCTGTCGGATTTTGTGGAGTTCCATATTGATCTGTTTACTAAGAGTAGTTACAGGATTTCCCCCGAGTCCAGTGACTACCATTGCCCCTAAGTCAGCGATATATGAAGATTTACGAAAAGTTGCGATTCGACCACCGACGCGGTCCTGAAAATATACAAAAATTTGAATAAAAAACATCGCAAAAAAATTAGATCAATGAAATTTTCTATTGAACTGTGAATAAACTCACTCTTGCTTCTAGAACAATTACTTCAAGCCCAAATTGTTGCATTTGTTGAGCAGCAGCTAATCCAGCAATTCCCGCCCCGATTACTATTACTTTACCAAGTTTTTTACTTGGTATTGGCTGTAATATTTCAAAAAGACTTCAACGAAAGTGCAATATAGATAAAATACTTTGAAAAATGTAAGAAATATGTTACTTTACGTCAATTTAATATGAAATGCGTATAAATACCTTTAGACGTTTAAATACACCAAAATTAATGAATCCATGACGTTCTAAGAAAGCATGAATTCTTCGTACAAGAATTGTATCGCTATTATATGGCGGTTCAATGGACGGTAAAGCATTCTCTATAATTAATTGTTGCTTTGGATTCTCTAGCCACAATTGCAACTGAAATACAGTTTTAGAAATGCGATAAAAAAGATGTATTAGTTTTAAATATCCATACCATTTTTATTTTTATATGAAAACTTACTAGTCTATTTCTTATATGTAGGAAAACTTTCTGCGTTTGCGGTGGACCACTGGAAACATCAGGAAAGCAAGCAGCTTCCGTCGACGTTAATTTATCGAATGGCAGTCTACTTTGGAATGCTGCGCCTTCCAAGCCATTCAATAATTCTTTTACTAAAAGCAATGGTTGGAAAGAATATTATTAAATTTTTTAGCACCTATGATCTTAAGCCAGCTGATTACAAACATAAAAATATACCATGCGGATCTTCGTGATCGCTGTCTTGCTCCTCTTCCTCTTTTGTTTCAACTTTTGGGGCATTTGAGCTCGGAGCTGCAGGAACAGCCTCGGGTTCTTTTTTTGGCTCGGCCAATGATTTCTTTTCTGGTGTCGCTAAACCAGTCTTTGACTTTTCCGACGTATCGGAAGTATTTTCATCTTCTAACTGGTTATATTTTTCCTCCATCTCTCGGTACTCAACCTAACGATAAACCCAGATATATTAAAGCCTAAATATACTCAATCCCTTAAGTCGGAACATTCTTCTTAATTAAATATATATACAAAAATATGAATACATATAATTTTATAAATAATATACTAAAAAATAGCATTTGTGGTACAGTAATGTAATCTCTAATGGAATCAAAACTAAAACATAACCTCTAAAGCTTGATTATTTACCCCTCAATTCTATAGTACGCTAGTTCAAAATAATAAAAGAAAAATACTCAGAAATATAAATTCAATCATATGCATTAAATATTCAAACGTTTAATTAAAGAAAAAACAGAAATAAACATTATTAACCAAGTGTATTGGCAATTTAGCGCGTCGAATGCATAGCTTTTTCGAGAGACACAATCGACGGATTGTCTCACCGCAGGAAAGTTATAATAATTTTCACAAACCTTCGCTCTTTTCCTTCGACTCATTGTGTGACAACTCCGCTTTCTTGAAGGTTTCTCTAGGGTTTAAGATTAGGTTAACTCTCCCAGAGAGCAACTAAAAACACTTATTCGTGTCGGCGCGTCGATCCGGTACCGTAGCAACGCCAGGAACGCTTGCGATGTTGCCATAACCTCAAAATTTACTCTGGATGAAGAAGTATCAGCCAATGATGTGACATGATGGTAGAGAGTGGCCTGCCATTGGTCGAGCTCGAGAGGCAACGGCAACGTTGCAGAGTCGACCGAAAGGAGAGTTTGTTTACCCACGAGGCAACTCGTTATGCTCCCCCACCTAGTTCACCCGGAGACCATGGTATCTCTCTCTTACCCACTTTTACCGTGAATGTAACAAATATACCTATTCTCTAAGGTGAGTACAAGGTCTCCGACCTGATCTCTTGACTGAAACTACCAGAGGGATGTATCAGACAATTGTATTTGATGAATAAACAATTCCCATTAAGTGTACCTATGTCTCCATCTATCGACCATATTTGGTACTTTCGAAGTTTTTTTGGTTCACCCCCATGGATCATACCCTTGGGATCCACCCAATAAATACCCTCCCAGGTGGAATGGAAGGGTGAATATAAAGGGGATGTAAATGACGAAACTCTCATCGCACCAATGATACATATTGCAGACGTTATCATGTAAATGCTGCGCTGTTTCCTGCGTTTTATGTTAATAATAATTCGGAAACTCGCGTAAGCGTGCTGGACTCGTCTCCAATATTTTTTAGTGCGATCAAACAATTACCATATTCCGATGAACCGATAAATTACCTTGTGGTCGGCTCATTTATATTAATCTATTCATTTAAATGGATCTGTGCTGCCGTGGTGATATACTGCCGGACAATTTTTCACTTTTCTAGTGAACGCTTCTTGATATGAGTAATTAATTTAATACTTATTTTAATTTAATCCAGAGGGTTCTTAACCACGTTCATTCATGACCTACCGGTTTTGATGTTTCGCAAATATTCCTTAAACTCAAAACCATGTTCGGCGACTTAAGAACCATTGATTTTCATGTAATCAGTATTTTTGCGCAATTAAAATAACTAAACTGTTTTATAATGATTATTCATCGGTAAATTAAATACTCTTACCAAATTTCGTAGGCTACATCTAAGAAACGAATCTCGATCCACTTTTATCCTTAATAACTATATAAAGGGGTTATTTGTTGTAACTACAAAATATCAACACAGCTGCACGATTACTTTACAGTACGTATTTAACTATAAAATTATATGAATCCATTTTAATGGTATTTATACGAGGCGTCATATAGTGTTGAATTTTTCCAAAAAATCTGTTTACATATTAACTTGCAGGTCCTAGAATAAAAGCACACGTTACTATTATTCTACCGTTATTTAACCGGTAATGCCATGAGATTGCGAGCTGGAAGGCAACGAACAGCGAAATATCAAAACCATCTCGTGCATGGGGAACCGAGAACAATGGCAGTTATCTCACCTTCCACGTCACTACGCGCAAGATTTTCCAAATCCTTTCGAATAAAAAAATTTCTCTCACAAGAGTGACTTCCCATCGACAAATAGTTATTATCCGTTTAATAAAAGAAAAAAAGTGTAAGTATTATCTTCGTTCCTCATGGAGCCACTGAACAAAAAAAAAAAAGTCAAAGGAAAATGCAACCTCAGCGGTTACAAAAAAGCTCGTTCAGCCGTGATGAAATTTTCGGGGAGCCGAAAATTTGGCGAAAAGAACACCGGGAAATTCAGGGAAAGAAAGGTTTTGTTCTTTTGCAATTCTTTTTCAATACAATTTAATGCAAAATATCCCAACAACCGAATGTGTTTAACAAGTTAATCTTGTCAATTGAATCAAGGCCGCAAGATTAGAAAATATTTTACTATATTTACATGTATACATGAAATTGATGTAAAGGATCATTTGATCTAATTTATATTTATAGAACATAAGTTTTTCATTGGTACACGTTGATTATTTAGACAGGTATATACACAAATATATTAATACATGAACTGGTACACGAACACTGGACCGATAAAGCATAATAAGGAGTAAAAGATATAAAAAATACATATTTCCCTTCCTTATCTTTCACACTCGCGGCACAGTAATGGCGACGAGGAAACCGAGGATCCGATTTCCCCTCACGTTTTTCAACATTTAAAGATCACGGCTAGCAATCTACCGTAAAGTAAAAGCCTGCGACCTACATTTTCCAATAATGACGCCAGAATCGATTTCCACGGGCCTCGTTCGCGTCCAAAAGTTCCGGGTTCCCATAAACTTGGAGAAAAAGTTACCCCAGCGATGGTACCAAGGAAACCGAGAGTCCAGTCTCGTCGCCCCATTTTCCGATACCTAAAGGTCTCGACCCAGCGATCTCCTGCAAAGTAACGATCACCGGCGGGTAAAAAGTTCCAAATTGCCCAATAAAGTGCTTAAAATCGATAGCGACACGGAACACCGTCCATCATAATTTTGGAGTGATTATCGGTTCGAGAAAACGGGGAGATCCGATCGCGCTTTGGGTCTAACTACCACGGAGTCAAAGACATAAACGGAATCCACGGCCAAGACGTGGCGAAATTCTCCAAAAGATTTCCTTAAACCCTGTTTCCAGAGGGAGCGTCGTCCAGCGGGGTCTTTGGATCCCGGCATATTTCCGGGAGCAAGGGACATCGATTCCGGACCTCGATCCTGGGGCAGACGAGCTCCTTGATAGGCACCAGGAACGGGTGAGGCGTCGACGCTCCCTCGGAGGTCTCGCTTAGAGCCTGGACCAGTCTTTCGTATTCGGCTTCCCTTTCCACGCTCCTACGGTGCATCCGCTCGTTCTCCTCGGCTTCCTTTGCGCTACACGTCTCGAGGTACTTCCGCTGTTCCTGCAATTCTCGCCCGTAACGAAGAGCCTTCTCCCTCCTGGCGCTCCTCTCCCTTTGGAGGAGCTTCGCATCGGCCTCCACCTCTTTCGCGAAAAGCTCGCGTTCCATCTCTTCGATCCGCTTCTCGCGCTCCAGAGCCTCGGTTTTATCCCTTAATTGGCGTTCCCTAACGTCCAGGACCTCCTTCAGCATCCCCTGCCTGGCCTCGCGCCTCTGCGCGGCGATCCGGTCCTTCCTGGCCGCGGCTTCGGCATTGTATCGGGCGATCAGTTCGTCAATTTCGGCGTTTTGTTTAGCCTCGTCCTTTCGACGAGCCGCCAGGTCCTCCATATAGGCCAGGATCTCCCGACGAGCGGCTCTCGTCGTGTCGCCAGTGGCCGCTCTTTCCCTGGCCAGCTCCTCGTTCGCCATCTCGCTCAACATCCTCTCCGTGGTGGCCACTTCCCTTTCTCGCTCCTCCCGCAACGTTTTCGCCCTCGAGAGCTGCTCCTCCAGATCCTTCCTCGCCGCGGCCTTCTTCTTGCGCTCCTCCTCCTCTCGGCGCCGCTCCTCTTCCCTCTCTTCTTCTTGCAGCCGCAGCAAGTGTTCTCGCTCCTCTTCCTTGGTCCGCCTAATTTGAGCCTCCGATGCCGATTTACTCGCTAATTGCTCGGCCAGGATCTCGACCGTGTCCTTGCGAGCTTCGGCTCTCTTCTTCTCCTCCTCCACCTCGCGCGACCGTTTGGCCGCGACCTCCTTCAGCATCAACCCGTGCCAGAACTCCTCCAGCTCTTTTTCTTGCTGCTGCTTGGCGTGGTTTTCCGCCATTTGTACGAGGTTGCAGTGCTTCGTGTTCGCGGTGAAGCGTTTCGAAAAGGAGTCCCTCAATGTTGGGCAGTGTCTTAGAACCTGCTGGGTTCGTTTGGCGGAAACCGTGGCTAGCCTCTCCTCCTCTTCCTGCCTCTTTAGCACCTCCGCCTGCTTCTTCGAGTCCTCCATACGAGACTGCTCGATTTTTTTAACGCGATCCAGGAGTTCCTTCGCCAGAGAGGCCTCTTCCACCAGCAACATCCTCCGCAGCTTTTCTCGACGGATCTGCACGGACTCCTCGTAAGCTGCCATACCTTGAACAAAGAAACGAGATGCATCATCAAGACCTGTTGAGAATGACTCATTCCGTCATCCTGTCTCTACTGTGCCTTCAAGAAAAAAAATTCTCCTCGACGGAAAGGAAATTCTCTCCTAACCCATGAATTTCATTATTTCTGTCTAACAGGGTATGGCAAGCGTTTCACGAGGTGAAACGTTTCAAAGGATGAGGAAAGACAACGTCAACTTCTAATAAGAGCTAAAAAACACATTTTCGTAGCATGACTCGGACGACTCCGCTGTCACGTTTCGTTAAGTACTCCCAATTAGCGTGGCCATTAGCGCAGCCAAAGTGGCAACCGCGGTCGTACCTTGGTCGACTCGTTGACGAATCGTCTCGGTGATTATTTTCTTGTCGGTTCGCCGTTCCATGGCCATTTGTGCGAGGAACTTCTTTAATTCCCTGGATTGGGGCGTCTCCCCCAATTTCATCTCCGCGGCCGGGCCGAACTTCTTGAGCTCGTCATAAATTTCCTGATAATTCTTCCGGGAGGCCGGCGGGCGTATCCTGTGGCCGCAGGAGACGCCGGACGTCCCCGGGACGTTCACAGGAGCCGTTCGCGTCCCCGTTGGTCGGCATTCCGGAAAAAGGGAGCCCCCGCACAACATGGCGGGTTTTCCGGAAGAAACGGCGCCGGGTGTTCTAGGATGTCCTAACGAGAAATCGCTTTGACAGCCGGCCTAACGTCGTGACAGTCGCTGACAGCGAGCCCTCTGGACGAGGCAGCCACCCCGGCAGTCAATCGATATATACGCTTGTTTCTCGCCGTCATGGCTACCGTACGGAGATCTTCGAGGAACGCTTAACCGAGGTGCGCATGAGCTGGCGGGACGACAAAAAGGCAATCGTTCTCTCCTTTGAGGATCCTTTAATCCGGGATTCCCTTAGCTTCAGACGCCAGACTCCTCGTCCCGAGGAGGTGCTGAAGGAATACGTGATACCGGGATCAATCATGGATGCAATCTCATATTCCCTGTGACAGCCTCCGACTGTCGAAATTAGAGGACGTGGACAGCGAACGTTATGTCGAGATAAAAGCGTCGCCACCCGGACTATTCTACGGAGGCTTTGTGCCTTTAAGGTGAAGTGAAACATCCTTCAAATCAGTCGATTCGAATACAACACTTTTTTTTAAGGGTATTGGACCAAACTGTCCGAAACTTTGACACGTCACTCCTGATCATCTAAGAATTGTCCTGACACATTCAAAATTTGGATTTTTGGAAAACATTTTTTAACTCAGCCCAGACCAGAACCAAAATGGCGTCGAGCTCTCATATTTCGATCAATATACAATTATCGAAGGCTCTGATATGAGAATCGAAAGGGTCAGGACAATTTTACGACAATTTAGAACACTCTGGTAATCGATAAACTCGCATTTGAACGGGATAAAGGCAAAAAAAGTGTTGTATGCGCTTCTTTGCTAAAACGGTGGTAATACGAGGTCTCGGAGTGAAAATTTAATTGACCTGGAAATCACAGATGGCGCAGGGGGTCCCTCCGCAGTCAATTAGGGCCCCAGAAGGCATGAATCCAGAGGATTTCTGGAGTTTTACTTCGATTTCTTTATAATTATTGTACGAAAACGACAGGTGGAATATGCCATTTGGTACAATACACAATATAATTCGACCTAGCTGTCAATATAAAAACGAACGTCGGCAACGTAGGCATTTAGAAAAATCGTCTTTATCGACGTCGATCAAGTTCCTCGACGTGTTTCACTTCACCTTAAAGCCTTTGAGGTGTCCGCTTGAGATTGTTTCTGACTGGGATCATCCTTTTCTCCTCGCTCTTCCGTTTTTCTTAGTTATCTCCTTTTTAGCAGGATCCGTGAGATCCGCTCGACGATGTTGGAGGCTGCATATTGTTTCGCTTAGCGAACTCTAGTCTTGCCCCTTGGGCATGTATGCATGTATGCGTTCGACATCGGAGGGGGAGCACAAAAGGGAAACGAAATGGAGTCCATTTTGATGAACGAGTTTCGCCGCATCTCGCGTTTTAGCAAGGAAAATTGTTTGCTTTCGGAACATTTGCCGGGGAGAAATCGCATTGTTCGCGTAGAATGTGTAATCGAGGTCCCTCAAAACTCGCTCCCCGTGTCCGAATTTCGCTACTGTAAATGCTCGCCGAGTTCCCCGCTCGCGGGAACTTGAAGCGGCCACCTCGAAACGGACGTTCGGGAAACCGATATTAATTACTATTAATTACTAAAGGAGAAAACTTTTTAACCGTGTGATCCGGTTTAACAGGGCCTTTCACTGCTCGTGCAGGGACCAAGTCCCTAAGTTAAACGGCAAGCAAGTTATAGACCGTTCGACCTTAAGTACACCGTTTTACCGGAGTCTTCCCTGCCCGAAGCAAGGAGCTCTCAGAGAGAATTTAAGATCAAAGAATTTATAAAGGAAAACGTAACTTTTTAAAGGGCTTCGAATGTTTCTCTTTTCCTCCTCTCGAAATTTCACCCGGCGATCAAGTTTCCTCCCTAACGAACATCTAGGGCTGGATATTTAACACAATAGGAAATGTCATTGCCCTCGGGGAACCGCCATTCCCCTAGTAGCACAATAATTTCTATATATTTTTCCTAACTTTTGTTAAACGTCTCAAGCGACAGATTTTTAAGACGTCTCTTAGATTTCATTCTGTCAGATATCTAAAATATATCTCGAATATCTCGATGGCACATTTAGTATTAATAATTTATAAGCGCATATCAAAATTATATTTCCGTCCTTCGTAACGGCACATTATAAAGCTCAATATCAAAATCGGGGAGCGGTCTCCCTCATCGAAAAAACACAGTCGCAGGAAATGTAATTCAGGGCTCCGTTACCTCTCCTCTACGACTTCGGCGTCTCCTTCTCTCTCTCTCTCTCTCTCCCGAGAAGCGAAACTTTTCCGAGCCGGAAAAACTTTTAATTCGCGTCCCGTCTTTCCAACATCGCGCGGGAAGAACACATGGCCGACTTGGTAATTTCGCGGTGAGAAGAAAAAAAAAAAATAGAGGGAAGAGAGAGAGAAATTACGATGCCTCCGTATTCCTGAATGAAGCGATCGCATTACCGCGCCAAGGAAAACTTCTCGGTGAATGATAAGTTTTCGGTAAACGAGCTTCCCTCCGATGTAGGGCAAACGCTCGATTCGTTGGGCGTTTAAGCACTCGTCGAAAACAAACGCTTCCGACAGCAAGTCAAACAGTTTTAACATCCGCTAAACGAAATTCCCCCGATCGGAATTCCAAGGAGCGTAAGTACCTCCCACGGATAACTAACCGATAAAACCTGACGTTACAACCTCGTCGAGCATAATTCGAGTGCCTTTTATCAATTAGAACCAACCGCCACTGGACGCGCCGCCTTTGAAGCTCCGCAATCGATCATTTCCTCCCCTATCGATTTTCCCGTCCGAAGCGGTCAGCCAGTAATGACTCAAACTCCGAGAATTACCGGCAATGGCGACCGACTAGGGAAATTTCTTCCAGACGATTTAAAGTCAAAATCGGCCTCGTTCCCGTCAAAGCTACATTTCCGACATTTCTTTTCCCCACGAGGGCGTAATTGCAGGAGGAACGCGAAAAAGGCGAGGTAACCCCGTCGTCGGCATTATTTATCCCTACCAATCGCCTTGCACGCTCCCCGGGCCCGGGGAGTCCCTTATTATCCCGGAAAGTAGCGTAGTTTGTTCATCGAGTGGGGTGTACATCGAAGGGGTGGTCGAAGCGTGCCGGCATTGTGTCCTTAAACCGGGAACCGGCGAGGGCGGAATCGCGAGTGGGTAGTTCGGGAGGACGTTTCCTTGGCAGAGGTCTTGATACCGCCGTTAAAGTGTCAGCCGGGGCAAGAAAATCTTGAATGATATTGGCCTTAACTGAAACCATCATTCTTCGGGGCCGACGCGGCCGGAATTGGAAAATGTGAAATATTTTCGCAGTTATCAGCGAGGAAGGAGACACGTGCGGCGCTCCGGGGTGGAGGGGTGGTCCTTATATCGAGAGGCTCTTATCGCGGCTCGGGGCATTTATGACGACAATATCCATTCCTTCGGTGGGTAATTGCGTGCCCTTTTTCGTCCCCGTTATTTACAGGAGCGGACCTTCGCCGGGACTCCCGTATAGCGGGGGGGAACCAGAGGGGGAGGAAAAAAAATGCCGATAAAAGTTGCCGGCCCCGCGGGGGAGGTTCCAGGAGAAAAGCCTCGCTTTAAGCCGCCCTGGTTTCGACCTTTCTCCCTTAACGAGGGAGGCCCGCGGGTTGACGTTCGGCTCTCTTATTCCGGCGCGGGCGGCCGCAAGAAGTCAGACGGTACGAAAAATTAAATGCGCCGCCATTAAGAGTACTTACGAGCCCCGCTCTAGATTAGCTTCTCGGGCCCGGGAAACCGGCCCATTTGTCACGGTGTCCCCGCCGCTCGGAGAGTCGGTCTGGAAAAAAAAAAATTCTTAGCGGACCTTTCGGACCATTTGCGCCGTCGGTTAAGGGCGGATATTGCCGCGCCGGCCCGGTGCGACCGCGACTTAATTAAAGGCATCCCTCTTCCTCCCCCTCCGAGGTGGATATTTTAAACCAGGCATTAACTGGCGAGCGTCCGATCCGTCCTCCGTGGTGCAACCGGGCGCCATAAGATTGTCTTGGATTTGGCCAATTTCGGAGATCACCGATTCAAAGACGCCCCGATGCCGCATCTAATGCCAAGAACGCGTACGAGGCAAGACAGGCCGAAACAAATGCCCCACTGGTGGCTGCTTCTAATTTGCTAATTAAAGGGACGTAAAAGGGACATCCGAAAGGTCGATCGTTCATGAGGTCTTTCTCCGACCTGATGTACCGAGTCGTTTCAAACTTGACAAAGTGAATACGGGGGCTGTAAGGAAGGTCCTGCCCCCCATGAAATTTGATTTTTGATAAAAAATTGAAAAAGTTCCTATAAACAAACGTTTAAACAGTTAAAATTTCATGTGGGTCGGGGCTTTCCTTATAGCCTCCATATTCTCAGAAAATCCGATGTTCTCCCGAAGTGCTGGTCTCGTTAGTCTCGCGTGCGGTGGAGGAGCTAACGCGGGGCCGCGCGAATCCACCCAACCCCACCTTACCAAAAATTGAACCCACAAATACCCACGTTAGGAGTACTTACAGGGCTCGACCGATGGGCCTCGTGCCCGAGGGAACCGCCTCGGTGATCGCGGTATCCCCTGCACCAGGTTAGTATGGCGCAAAGACTCCCATGTCTCGTTGGCCGGCCACTCGCGGGTGCCCGACGACGTTCCATCCCTCGGGGGAAAGCGCAAGCAAACGACGCCGACTCCATTAGTCGGCTCGGAGGGGAAAAAAAAAAAAAGAAAAATGAAGCGCGGAAGAGAGAGAAAAGAAAAGCCGACATCCGGGGAGTCTAACGACGTGCGGACTCCGCGGCGCGTCGGCGAGAGAGAAAGAAGCGTCGGAAGGGGGCGACGCCCCCCGCGGAGGAAGAGAGACGGACGGAGCAAGCCGCGGAAGCGGCGGGCGGGGCTCTCATAAAACGGACTTTAAAGTGCCCTCTCGATTGAGTTCCTCGCAATCGCCGTCATAATTTCTCTTTCTCTCGGGGGCTGGGTCTCCCGAGGGTTCCATCGCGGCTCTCGAACCGGCCCTCCAGAGGAAGAGGGCCATCGAAACGACGCGAATCGAGTGCCGGTGAAACACCCGGAATTACCCGGCGAAATGTCACTTCCGATGTAATGCCGATGGACCTCCGGAACCCGCGGTGAACTTTTATCGGGATGTCTCGTCTGGGGTTTATCGGGCCCTCGCTTGGTGTCAATTGTTTCTAATCGCTTGTCCACGCACTCGCTGAAAAAATGTGGCCGGGTAAAGAGCGAAGTACCTTTGCATCCCCCGAATCCGGTTAACTCGATTCGCGTCGATATTAGTATGCATAAAGGAGATTATTGTTAATCTATGAATAAAATTATATCTCGTTTTAGTTTGTATAATGAAGTTTGCCGGCCGTGTATACTATGAATAAAATTATATTCAATAAACACCCCGGTACAGGGTTTCGATGCGTTTGCGGTAAAGGTGGCCGCCGGTAATTACTATTAATCACTGTTGAGGTGCGCTTTAAATATGTATCACTGCTCCCTGATTTATGGTCGGCTTCTCGCTGATAGCGCGCTCGCGGTGTTTGATTGCGAGGAGAGGTGGGAGGAATTAAGAATAATTTTACGAGCCGTGTTTTTTCACTTTTAATATGGTCCGCACAATCCAGAAAGAGACGTCATGAATCAAGATAAACTCCATTGAACGATTAAAGCTCCTGGGTAAAAAGATTCAAAGTTGGGAGCATAAGGATCTCGTCGGTCCAAATTAACCAAATATCGTTCCGCGTCGTTAATAACGCTTCCGTAAAATTGATTTGATGGAATTCCGAGATCACAGTCAATTTCCCGATAGCGCGAATAATCGCGTTCCAAAGTACTCGGGTAAACTCACATTTTGCCGCAATTCTCGGCGCGATTTTGCCGCGACGTGCCAATGGCGGTGCCAAAGTAGAAAGGAAGATATCCAGAATGTAAACGAGGACAATAAACACCTGGTAACATCTCCCTCGGAGGATATGACAATAACGTGGTGCAGTCTAGGGACAACTATACGTACCGCTTATATTAATACTCATCTCCCTCTCGTAACTCCCATGGTGATATCAGTCGCCGTTTACCGACCGCACCGCGTGCGGGGCTTTCTCAAATCCCTATTTACCACAATCCAGATATATAAGAAAATATATAATAAATAATTACCCTCGGGATGAATAAAACATTTCTTCGGTTAGATTAATATTTTTGTATTCATACGCGCTACACAAATCGATGTTTATAATCACAAAGAAGAATTGTCCAAAACCTGCCGATTGCGGGACAATAACGTCTGAGAAATCCAGGCAAGCCTGAAAAACGATTTTATTTATTATCTTTACATTATCTTTCCGACGCACTTTTTCCGAGCGAGCGGGACTACTCGACTTCGGGAGTTAATAAAGTAGCAGTAATTGGTTCATTATCTCAGCCTACGCTCGCGACAATGGAGAGGGGGAGCAGGTCGCTATCAGCGGCTCCGTTGCGATGTTTCCTCGTTAACGAACAAAGTGTTAATAATATCGTTAGCGGGCCGAGGGGCGAGGCGGATATTGCGACCGTCGACGGGCCAGGAGCCGGGAAGGATACAGGCCCGGCGGTGCCGGCTAACTGGCGAAGCCCTCGATTTGCCTATCGGCCGGGAATATCGGCATATCGATATCCATTTGGCGGCGGTAACTTATCGGCCAAATGTGATATTCAGGTGACTTAAAGTGCTGGCAGCATGCCGCGGCTTGCTCCGAATGCCGTCTGAGCCGGCCGACCAGACGTGCCGCGACGTGGAACGCAATCGATCGGCCAACCACGACGTCGCCAATACGGTGGGACTTACGTGCCCCGGAACACGAGAGGGTGTCCTTCCTGCCAATCGGGCCTCCCTCGTGTACCAGGGCACCCCGAGATAGGAACTCTTTTCACGGCCCTTCGTTATAGGAAAATCGCCCCCGCTGCGGATTTAGATATCGAAAAAGATATCGCAACAAACGCAAGTACCCAACTACCCCAGTACCACGAAAAATTCGAGACGTCGGAAGTACTCGAATCCAGTAATTTTCTCGGATTTATTCCAGAGTCCGCGAGTGGGGTATCGAGATCTCCTTCGAATGACATGATCCTGAAAAATCCCCGCAAATGAATCCGCGATTAATTTCGAGCCCCACGTGGAGCAAGCCCGGCTAGATCAGCTGTCAAAATATATAACGTTTATGCGGCTTAAGTGTGAATTTGGCCGTGAAAAAAAAAAAATTAAGTCCTCTGTTGGGAAACAACGAAATTACTTTCCGAACAACCCAATAGATATCAAAACTCGCAACAACCCAACTACCCCAGTACCAGAAAAAAATCGAGACGTCGGAAGTACTCGAATCCAGTAATTTTCTCGGATTTATTCCAGAGTCCGCGAGTGGGGTATCGAGATCTCCTTCGAATGACATGGTCCTGAAAAATCCCCGCAAATGAATCCGTGATTAATCTCGAGCCCCACGTGGAGCAAGCCCGGCTAGATCAGCTGTCAAAATATATAACGTTTATGCGGCTTAAGTGTGAATTTGGCCGTGAAAAAAAAAAAAATTAAGTCCTCTGTTGGGAAACAACGAAATTACTTTCCGAATAACCCAATAGATATCAAAACTCGCAACAACCCAACTACCCCAGTACCAGAAAAAATTCTAGACGTCGGAAGTACTCGAATCCAGTAATTTTCTCGGATTTATTCCAGAGTCCGCGAGTGGGGTATCGAGATCTCCTTCGAATGACATGGTCCTGAAAAATCCCCGCAAATGAATCCGTGATTAATCTCGAGCCCCACGTGGAGCAAGCCCGGCTAGATCAGCTGTCAAAATATATAACGTTTATGCGGCTTAAGTGTGAATTTGGCCGTGAAAAAAAAAAAATTAAGTCCTCTGTTGGGAAACAACGAAATTACTTTCCGAACAACCCAATAGATATCAAAACTCGCAACAACCCAACTACCCCAGTACCAGAAAAAATTCGAGACGTCGGAAGTACTCGAATCCAGTAATTTTCTCGGATTTATTCCAGAGTCCGCGAGTGGGGTATCGAGATCTCCTTCGAATGACATGGTCCTGAAAAATCCCCGCAAATGAATCCGCGATTAATCTCGAGCCCCACGTGGAGGATGGGTGCCTAAAGAGTCCGCGTAGTTTCGTAACTCGAGCAACATTAATGGCGAACCCGGTGTCGGGGAGGGACAGTGACCGGTGAGGTGTGTCAAGGTAAAAGATTGACGGACTCTAAGTGCGGGGCGGTATAGGGTGGTTACTCGCGCTTTAACATGTCGGATCGATCGATCCGTATCTCTTAGCCGTGCGCCGGGGTCTCCGCGTTTTCCGGCCGAGCGGCCGGGAAAGTGGCCTCATTATCCCGATCTATCATAACGTCGGTCATTTACTTTATTATTATGACTCGCGATAAATTTAACGAACGGCACACGCACGAGTTCCTTCCCCCCCGGTATCTCTCTTTCCTTCGGCGGTTCTAGGCGCACCTAATCTCGCGGTACACAGTTCGCGGTGGCCATATCGGATTACCGGGGACACCGAGCGTAAATCCTCCCGGTTTTCATCGTCCGCGGCCTCGTGCCATCTGTTAAAATATTATTACTCATTCGCACGAATTCCTCGCCGCTTGCAGCGGCCACCCCATATACAGGCGAGCGCCCTATAAATCGCCGTCCAGCCCTGTACCAGATGGCATGACCCCGGAACTTTGGCAGCTACGAGCCGGCGGCCATTATTTTCAATTAGTATCGGCTATTACGACTCTCGGTAGCATATACTTATCGGCGAATTACTCTTTCCAAGTGGAAGTGAGTTACGCCGATTAGACCGGGCTTCTCGGCCTGGACCCGCGCCCCCTGCGAATCAATTTCGTTATTGCGTCCTCGGGACTTCCCCCTCGCCTGTCCCGCTCGTCTCTCCGATTTTTTTCGGTAGATTATGTGCCAGGGATACAGGTGCGTCAGGGCAGAGATTTTTCCCCTGGACCGATGCGAACCAATTTCGTTATCATGTCCCGGACACGACCGGGACAAGCTGCGTTTGTTCGATTCTCGACTTTATCCAGTTGTGAAAATACGACGGTAACCCCGGCCCCGATATGGGGAATAAATGTTTATTTACATCCGAGGTATTATTTGTTCCGCGAATTGACTGGGGGCTAACGGTTACCGTAGAACCGCGGAAAAATCGTATTCGATCGTAAAAGAGTATTCCGGTGGAGCATGTTCTGAAAAAAGGAAATTAATATCAGTGGGATGCCGAAAGTTATCCATAGATTCGCATATTAAGGGGGCATTTCTCGTTGGTTAGATCCCACGTTCCCAGTGATTTAGGAAAGAGCAAACTCTGGCCACTCTTAAGGTGAAGTGAAACACGTCGAGGAACTTGATCAACATCGATAAAGAAGACTTTCCTAAATGCCTACGTTGCCGACGTTCGTTTTTATATCGACAGCTGTACCGAATTACATTGGGTATTGTACCAAATGGCGTACTCCACCTGTCGTTTTCGTACAATAATTAT